TAGTGTTCTGAAAGAATCGGTCCACAGTGTAACCTCGGGAGGGGCCGTTACTGACGTGGAAGCTCGTAGAACGGAGTGAACTAATCTTGCAAGTAGGGTTGCTCCCAGCAACATTAGTCGCGACGTGGTCTGCTTCGCGATTGGAGCCACTCATTTCTTAGATGCCTCAAGGTTGACTTCGACTTCTCAGGTTCTGCCCTCCACGAAGAGAAACGGCTGTTACAAAAGCGTTGTCCGACGCATCACAGAATCCTTGAATTTGATGATTAACGGGTTGTTCATTGGTGAAACGAAAGTAGCAGCGAGGGACTCTAACGTCTTTTAAGGCTCGAAGATCATAAGCGAGCGAGTGCCATCTTACTGGAGGTTTGCCTTCTAACTTGTCCTCCCAGTCAGCTCCCATGGTACACAAAGATTGGAAGGGGATCTTCATGTTGATCGTGAATGACGTGAGTAGGCCCATAGGATCGAAGACCTTTGTGGCGAGCTTCAGTGATCGCTTTGAGTCTGGAAGCGATTTCCCTTAAGACATCAGCTCTGTGCGGTCAAAATGAAATTCATCTGTGTTTACATTCTAGTTGATTCAGTTGATCCTTAGAAACTTGATGTAACACTGCGGCTGTGCGAGTCACGTGCAGCATTTACGGGAATTGCGGCAGCTTCCACTTGCGTACTTCTCAGTATCGTTCTCGTAGAAACCATATTCTTGTTTAACCTCGGTCATTTCGTAAGTAGAACTGTTCTCCTGAGCATTGATGTTTTCTCGAACACTTTTAGAGTTAGAGTTCCACTTTAACAACTGGGACCACCCTTGTTCATCAATTCTTTACAGGTGCGATAAATTTGTGACGCTTCGGAATCTTCGTAAGCCCCACCGGCGAAGTCGTCAACGTAAAGAGAGTCGAGTAGTAACAACAAAATCTTCGGCTCCTTGTCTTCGTGTTGCTACAGGTGGTGACGCCGAATGGTACCAGCTAGAATAGTGGGATTGGGTGTGAGACCAAAAGGCGAGCCACGCAACCGACACTGCTTGATCTCGAGTCTTTCTTTTTCTACATCGTCTAGCCAATAGAACTTGGGCACTTGTCTATCATCGATCAGACGCACTTAAATTTGATGAAAAATTCTCTCAATATCGGCGATGATTCTGATAGGATAACCGCTAACTTCAGGAGAACATGTGGAACCAGGTTATGGCCCTTCTGTAAGCAGTCATTCAGCGATAGATATTCGATATTCCAAAACCGTCATAAAGGGGAAAGTCCCGTTGTCGATCATGTGAGAATTCGGAGAACTTACCTTCTCGATGACAAGGTTAGCCACTGACAAGTCCGAAATCTCTCCCTTTTCTTGCGTTGGGTCATCAAGAGACTATGTTCTTGGTTGGGCCGGACATCACCCATCTAAATTTGCTATAAACGGGACCAGTGACTCCACGACCTATTTCGCCGGTGAGTATTTCAAAATGATAATCAGATACAATGACAATGGCGATCTTTGGGTGGCTACCATATACGATGCTGGTTTCAGCGAAATTCAATCCTTGTAAATGAGGAAGTCGGTAGTACATATCATCCAGATTTGATGACAGAGATGAGCGTGTTTTCGGTAATAAGAGGGCAGACATTTTCACATCTTCATCTTTGCCGCGCAAC